GGCTAAGGTCCTCCCCAGCTTTTTTCGAAAAAACATTTTTTCTTAAAAAACCTTTTATTTTTCTTAAAAACAGTTTTCTGAGTGGTATACTATCATTTCTAGTCAAATGAAAGTCATTCCTAAGCAAAAAAGCCGCATGTCCGCCTGCTCATGTGAAAGCTCCCCACTGTGTGTGTGGCATATGAGATAGACACACCATGAGGATGTAAGATATAGCTTAATAAGCATCTATACCATGGGTGGCTAGAAGCTACTCCTCCAGCTTTTTGCTATAGTAAACCAATTTGATTTCTATATGGGCAGATGTAAGATATCTGTAGAAAGATAAGCTAAAATAATTCTTACACACTTCTACTAGTAAATCTGTTATTTGGTACATCTTTATTAGCACTCTATTAAAAGCTACTCAGCAGTCTTTTAAATGGCACTATCTGGAGGAATAAATCTTTAATTTTGTTTTCTATAGTTTTTATTCTTTATTTGACTCAATTTCACCTACATATCCTTTTTCAATTCAAAATTCACTATACATGTCTTACAATGACGAATATTTCAGATCAAATATGTTTTGAATCAGTTAACTATATACGTAAGAATCTTTACTGAGTATACTATTTAAATGTAATCTTATCAATGATTTTATCAATAAACAGGTCAAATATTTTTCTATTAACAACATTATCTAAAGTTGTCACAAGGATTCTTTCTAGTTTGAAATTGTTAAGTCAGATTTCATTTAGTTGACTTTCATCAACCTCAGCGTTATGTACGAGTTTCCATATAAGTATGGACTTTATACTGTTCCTTTATTAATTTGGGGCGGGTGTGGTGTGTGGGTGGGGTGTAGGTGTGGGTGCAGTGTAGATGTAGGTGTGTGCAGAATTAACACCAAAGCCTACAATCGCACCCACTCATACCTGCACTCACCCACACCCATACCCCACCCACATACACACCCACACCCTTCATATACTATGAGGCTTGTGATATGGAGCAAATTGAGCATAGTAGAAAATGATAACGCTATTTCCGTTTAACTCACACCTGCGACTGTTGTTCGATAAACAACCATGTTACCAAGGTACCACTGACACTTGACATAATTAACAGCCATGGTTTTATGCAATTTCATCGTCTAGATTTCGACAATATCTCAGCGCTGACAGAATTTTGAAAATTACGAATGTTTAGAAATCTGAATTGTATTCTGAAGTTTTCACAATTCTCAGAATTCTTTCGTAATTAGCACAATGATAAATTTTGTTGACTATTTTATTATTGTCCAATCAATTAACTTTTACTTAATATGATATGATATTCATTAAAGTACCATTAGTAGAATTGAGCCTTCACAAATCCGCCTCTTTCCTTCCTTCTTATCCTCTCTTCCTTTTGTTGTGATGTATAGGATGTGTGTATTCTATAGTATCGTAACTACACTCACAGGAATGTATACTGGGGTTAAATTTTCATTCAACAACAAAATGTAGTATATAATCTAAAAAATATATTGATAATGTTTTCGAAAATCTTGTATTCCTTTCGTCATGTACAATATATATGTGCGCAAACAACACGTCATCATTAGTGATTACTCATGTGAACAGAAAGAAAAAAAATAATAACGTGCCAGTCAGGAATCGAACCTGCGGCTGTTGTACGACAAACAACGATGTTACCACTACACCACAGGCACTTGCTATGAATTATAATCATGTTTTTAAACATTTTCTACAATGTGACCTTCTCCATCAGAATTTCAGCAATATTCTAATTCCAGTAGATTGTTCCAGACTAATTCAAAGCTACAAACACTCCAAATATATTGTGAATTTTCTCCAGTTTCGGAGATTCTTTCGGAAGTACGACAGTAATGTTCGATTGTGGATATGTTTTTGTCCTCTTACCATTCCAATTTTGACAATAATAAAAATAAATACAATGATAGCCAAGTAATTAGATTTGAATGAAAAGGATATTGAACTGTTTAATTACTGTGCAATAATCCATGCCTGTACCTACATCCTTTGTCTCTTCTTTGCTTTACTTTCACTAAATTGTTCGTGTGTGGAAGATACATTTTCAAATCTCTTCAGGTCGACCGATACAGACTTCGTACCCGACCATATTTCATCGTATGACATGGTTCTTTTCTAACTGTATGAATGCATTTATAAGAAATAACAAGTAAAGAAACTGAATGCAAACCGATGTCGGTTTTTCATTATTACATAAGCATAATATTTCTTTTTATGCTCGAAATATTGAACGCTTCAATCCATGTTTACAAATAGGCAACGAGAAATTATTAAAAGAACCACTTCGTAGAAGTGAAAATGCCTTTCGAAAGTATTCATGTTAGTAACTAAGATTAGAATATTTTCTAGGTCTAATGACTTTCTAGACACCCTATATTTTGTTTTTTTTAAAGGGTGTGGGTGCAGGGTTCTCCTTTTGTTCACCCACACATCCACACCCTCTGTTGTTTACGCACGGTGAAGAAGTTCAACACAATAGTACCAAGAGTAGAAAAAAACATTGAACAACAATTTTGATTGCTCACATGAAAATCATAGTCGTCTATTTGTATAACGCGTACTCGCTTATTATACAACAATGAAAAAAAACCTATCTGCAAGGCCCACGCAAAGATCTCAGGATTCAGGGGCAGGGAATGCCAAGCTGTAATGAGATAACCAACAGTAGCGGATGCGCATTCCTTTTTATCACGAACCCTATTTTGATCTGTCTCTTCCGATCGGAGTCGCATTGACATTTTGCTAAGAGAAAACTATTTTCAGAGACACCAAAAGCTCTTTTTTTCTGGTTATATCTATCAGAAAAATGGTACTGTAACGGTTAATAGAATCTTTTACCACCGAAGATCCTCTACTTTTGACGGGTACTTAATAATTTCACTTTTTAGATTGAATACACAGAGTGGATTTGGGTGTATATGAACTTGTGCTCTTCGGTTCTACACTCACATTCACACCTTAGTTTTAACCTCATTAAATTTCACTTGAATGCAAATAAAACGAAATTCTGATTTTAAATTATATGTTTTCGAAGGATAATCAACTTTATGAAACATGACGGAAAAGGGGAGACAGCCAATGATATGCGAATCATACACTAAGGGCATCTATATCACAAAGTAAAAAAGAAAGCAAATATAACCAAAATATGGCTTCGGCAGTGTGTCAAAGTATCATACGATAAGTAAAAGAAAAACAATGAGATATATACTTTTGAATAAGCATCATAAGATACTAGAATTTGGTTAAGTAATAGAAGGCATGTGACAATCTTGCGAGTCGTGGTTATGAATAGGTGCATTGATTCATTTGAGTTTAATTTAAGTCAATTTCAATTTGATATAAATAGGCTTTTAGTTGATTTAAATCGAATTTAAATTTGCAAAACTGTATTTTTAGCTTCAATACATTCTCTTAAATGTAAACCAAACACTCTTAATTAGGGTTCTTGATAGTTTTTTCCTATGATTGCTAGCCGTTAATAGCTTATTTTAGATATTATTGAGAAGTAATGTAACGGGTGTTCTAGAAAGAATGATCGTCTCACTATTTTTTTTGAGATCTTTCCTCTAAGATCCTTGTAATTAAAGTTCATTTTAAAATCAAAATATAGGACTTGAAATTCTCTTCATAACAACAAATAATTGTGCCCCCAAAACAGCTCTTCATACGTTTGAAAAAAGACAAAAAGTAAATACACAAGTAGCTGTAGAAAGTAAAAAGCAAATATTTGACAATCAATGGTCGCACTTCATTTTTATTTCACGTTTGTGTCTTTGAATACGTTTTATAAAAATATAACAACATACAAAAAGATGCAAAATGAAAATCTTAACAATCTACAAACTAAATTTTACGCTGATTGTATACTTTTTCCTTTCAAAAAAATAACTAAACTCTATGCGCCCAATTTTCGTCATCGTGAAAAAAAAACAATATTTACACGTATGGGAATGTTTTTTTTGTTATTTCTTCTTATTATTATGATCAAAGAAAAGTCTGAATGCTGTGAGATCAGTTTTCACATAGATGTAAATTGGTCTCACAGATTTTTGTTTTTACGTGAAAATAAAAAGTATACAGTTTTAAAAAATTTTAATTTCTACATTGTAGAACTTTTCATTCTGCATCCTGTTGTTTATTGTGTTCTTCTAAATAAAACGTATTCACTGATAGAAATGTGAAATGTTAACTGCGGTCAATTGTTATCGAACATTTGCTTTTTATCTTTTGCAATTGCTTGGATGTCCTTACTTTTCGCCTTTTTCAAATACATCTAAAGTTGTTCTGGAGCACAGTTATATATCGTTTTGAAGAGAATTTCAAACGGGGATAAAAAGAGCTTTAATTAAAGGATCATAAAGGAGAGATCTCAAAAATACTGAGAGAACTATTCTTGAGGCACCCGTTAATATAGTCAAGAATTTCTTAATTGACTTTCTATAGATTTCTTTTTTTTACACAGTAGTAACTAGAAACTATAAGAACGATTCTCAGTCGTCCGAAGACAATATGCTCCTTCTTCATTGAATCAGGTACGATTCTGATAGATTGACAATAACTAACTACATCTATTCGCTACATAGATTTTTAAATTTTCTGAATGCTGTCGCCAAGGTTCAATATTCAATTCTTTAACAATTTGCAAATACTTGACAGAAATATATTACTTAGTTTCAATAAATTACCAACTAGTTTTGCTTCGTAATATTGAATAGAGCTAAATATTCTTTTTCAATTCAGGAAATAAGTGGGCGAGGATGAAGACAAAAGAGATAGGCTGCATTATTATTGAAAGAAAAAAAGTTGTCGTTTGTATTAGAGTAATTTATGCAATTGACAATAGATTCTATTTAATATAAAATCATTGCTTATGTAATCTATGTTGTTCGATTCTTTCTTCATTGTTGTCACAGTCTCTTCAATTTCATAGATTCAAAAAGAATACTATTATTCTTAAGGATGCCGCTGAAAGTAATTGGCGCTGGTTTCGGACGTACCGGTACTGAAAGTACGAAAACTGCACTCAATTTACTTGGATTCAACTGTTATCATATGACTGAAGTGGTAAAAGTAGGTCGCAAGTCAATGCCATTATGGATAAAAGCTGCTGATGATCCATTCGCAGCTGAATGGGAACAAATATTCGACGGCTATAATGCCACAGTGGATTGGCCAGGTGCTCATTTCTGGAAAAGTTTGATTGAATATTATCCGGATGCTAAAGTCATTCTGAATGTTCGTGATGCTGAAAAATGGTATGACAGTGTTAAAAATACTATATATAGACTTAGTGGAAGTTTAGTATTCAAAATCGGAGGAAAGCTGATTCCAAATATGTGGCACATGGATGAACTTGTACGAAAGATCGTATGGATTGGAACATTTAAGAATCGATTTCCAGATAAATCATATGCTATCGAAATATACAATTCTCATAATGAAGAAGTTAAACGTATTGTTCCGAAGGATCGGCTACTTGTGTTTGAAGTCAAACAAGGATGGGAACCATTATGTCGAGTTCTAAATTGTCCTGTTCCTGATATACCATTTCCAAATGTAAATGACAGACAATCTATGGAAAAGAGATTCACAGACTTCAAGAAACAAATCTTCATGATATCTACAATAATAATAGTAATTATTGCAGTTTTAGTCTTCTATTTTTTTCATTGAACACTATTCTAATGATATGAGTATGACTTTTTCATTGAGTTCGATCAGTGAATAGGTTTGTTTCATTGTATCATGCTTTACTCATGTCGGATAGACTATATTTTTTTTAGTATCGTTAGATTGAAAGGAGATTATTGTGAGTGAGCAGTTATATATACGGATATTTTATTGAAATATTTTTTAACTAGAGCTAAGGAAAGTGTATTTACAATAAATAAAAGTCTTTCATTTGAGCTGGTTCTCAATTGCGAAAATAGTATTTATTTTAGATTTTTAAGTAATATAGAAATGCACAATATGGACTGCAATCGTGATTAAGCTAAAAACATTGAAGGATTATTGTAGCACCATTTGCTAACAAGTTAGATCGAAATAAGATGTTAATTTAATTGTTTTCTTGTATATTAATGAAATCATTATAAAGTTCTTCCAAGAGTCGTCTTTTATCATCTTTTAAGTGTCTTCAAAATGTAAAATGTGATGCATAAATTATGATTTGTATCGAACTCACCTTCGAATATACTATCAACTTATATAAACAAGTTATTAGATCTATTTTGAATTGTGACTCAAAATTCTGTTATATATGAGTATCTATTTTAACAAAAACTTGTAGAACCATTTAAACTTCCTACAATCAATTTTAAATTAATCATCTTTCATTGTGACAAACGGTCAACTTTAGTAGTACGATCTTATTCTGAAATTCAGTAGTGAATGATATGATCCATTGATGAAGCAATCGTTTTCATTTATGTAGAAATGGATCACCCTACATAATTTCATATCTAGACAGAAGAACATGAAAATATGTATTGATCTTTTTCTATTATGGAATAGCTGGTATTATTATATTATCTTGAATCATGTTTCGGAAATAATTTTTCAATAATGGCTGAATGTTGATGTTAGTAATACAGATGAGTTATTCGTACTATCAAAATTTAGTCACCATGATGGGGTAAATGTCCAACCAGTGTTACATTTTCACTCAATACTTACGAAGGAAGGTCCCCAAGTGTGAGTCTCCGTTTCGAATCGGGTATTTGTTATTTTCTAGAGCTCAATGAGTACAGTACCCGCGTATAAAGAATTTCTGCACATGGTGAACTTTTCAGGAACAACGAGGTTCCATACCTTCTGAAAAATCAGCATAAGACTCTTAACTGAAGGCTTGAATTTTAATATTGTAAGGACAAAACATAGTGTTGCTCAGCCCAATCGGTGGTTATCAATGATGCTCTTTCATATGGCCCGAATAACACCATGTTTTGTTC